CAGGGGCTAGTTTGAGAATCAGGGTGAAAATGTAGATTTTGGCAACACAAGATCCAGGGATTTTGGAAAGAAGCCCCGAGATGGTTGAAAAAAACAAACCCCAAAATTACAAGTAGAGCTTTCAATTGTACAAGGGAGGTGGAGCTGCAGAAAAGAACAGAATGTACAGAATGATCTACCCCAAACTACTCCTACCAAAGAAAGATAAAAGGAAGACAGATAATATTTTTTAAAGATTGCTGGAAGAGGAAATTCTGGAACAAATTGCTTAAGAGATGTGTGAAATAGTCTATTTGTTGATAGCTGGGAAGAGTATCCGGCATCAGAAGAGAGATAACTTGCATGGAAATAAACATCCATAAGTTTGTTGGTGGTTTAAACACAGAATTGTCTCCCTTCAAGGCAAAACCTTGAGAGCTCTTTTTCCTGCAAATCAGCACCTGTCGATCCAAAGAAGACTAATTTAAACAAAACAAAACAAAAGGATGACATTACATTTTTCTGATTATTCCGATTTCAACGCAAACATTTTCCACTCCCTGGGTGGTGTTTTAGAACTCTCCCAATCTTTCATCTTGCAATTATTATTATTATTATTATTATTATTATTATTATTATTATTATTATTATTATTATTGCTACTGCTATTACCATTACTACTATTATTTTACAACATTGTGCCCTTGAAACAGGGTCACTGCCATGTGCAAGAAGGAGGCAAAGGCATGAGCAACCAGACTGATTCTCTTTGGGATATACATTACATTAATAGCAGAGCCTGCAAAACATTACTTCTTTAGAACTTCAGCTTCCAGACTCACCCATGTCTATGGGACTGAAGGACATCAACACTGTCCCACATCCATGGCCTTAGAGGGAGGGAAGAGCAGCCAGGCACAGCTCTACTAGGCCTGGGACCCAGAGGATAGTGAGAGACTGCCCTCCATGTGCCATATACCATTGCTCTGGCCTCTGAGACAAAGAAGAGCAACCAGGCACAGGTCCACCATTCCTGGGACCCAGAGGTTGGTGAGAGCCCCTTACCCCGCTCTGTTCATGCATACACCCACCCAGCAGCACTCTGGGCCATATCGGGATGTTGAGCACAGGCTGGTGTGTTTGAGAGAGCATCTATCTCTGTCTCCCACTGCCCAGCCCTCTCTGCTCCAACCGGTCCCCCTTTACCTCCGTGTAGCCACGCCTGAGCGCCATGTCTTCCAGCACACGCAGGGTTTTGACGTACTCCGGGGGCAGGAGGTGGTTGAGGGCACACAGGCCTTGGCCCAGCTTGATGTAGAGGCCTCCGTTCTGGATGGCGCCAGAAACGATGCATTCGGCCGCCCGCTGGTGGCAGCTGGAGAGGACCGCCTTGTATTCCGGGCTGTTCTGACCGCAGAGAAAGGCAGAGGATGGAGGAGTGGGTTAGCTCTCTCAGGGCCCTTCCTCTATGTTTCCCCCCCCCTCCCAACTTTTTCATGGTCCTCAATCTGTGAGATGCTTCCAAACCCTGCTTCTTTTTTCCCCCTACTCTCCATAAAATGAACTGCCTTTCCTGGAAGCTTCCAAGGAGAAACAATATTTTTTCAAAGCCAGAAGTGGACTTCTAGCCCCTTTTCAGTTTTTCAGCAGTCCCTGGGACAAAAACCCATTTCCCAGACCCAATGTGGTTGCTCATGGCTGGACTACACACACACTTCGCTCCACTGTTTCCTGCATGTTGTTGTTGTTGTTGTTTGCCTTCAAGTCATTTCTGACTTATGGCGACCCTAAGGCAACCCTATCATAGGATTTCCTTGGAAAGACTTGTTCAGAGGAGGTTTGTAATTGCCACCCCCGGAGGCTGAGAGCATGTGACTTGCCCAAGGTCACCCAGTGGGGTTTCCTGGCTAAGCTGGGAATCTCCTGGGCTCCAAAGTCATATTCCAATTCTCAAACCACTATGCCACACTGGCTCTCATTATCTTTCCAAAACAGAAACCACCTGGTTGTATGAATTCCAAGATATAGCCGTGTTAGTCTGCAGAATCAGTATGTAACCAGATCTTTTAGCACCTTTGAGACTAACTGAAAGAAAGAAGTTGTCAGCAGGAGCTTTCCTAGACTTAAGCTCATGCTGCCAACTTCTTTCTTCTGGTTGTATAGGAGTACAGGATTACACCAATATAGGACTAGATCAGAAAATTAGGAAGCAAAATACAGTTTAGAGGCTATGGCCACTAGTTTAAATAATAAATTATTCTTTAAAAAGTGATCTTTTAAAGGAAGTTGTTTTGATTGAGCTTATGTAAATTGAAGGATTAATTTCTGAATGGCATTCCTTGCACTAGATAATAAAGTGATTCAAAAGAAACAACTGACAATGGATACTGATCTAACCATGAATACTGGTCTAGCGAGATTCTAGTCTAGCTAATAAACTGTTGAAGTTAAAAGGTTTAAATCCAAAAAGTCCTTGTTCATCCAGAAGGGGGCTGGAAAACAGTAACAATAGCCAGAGGGTTTTTTTTAA